GAAATATGCTGGTACACGTGGCCTGAACGATCAAGTTTAACGTGTACCACCGATGGTACACACGGCACGGAACGTGTTAAATCGTTGGTTGCCGATGTAACGTAAACATATTATTAAGAATTCGTCGAAGCAAACAAGCTATAAAGCGTGAACATTTCCTTTTGCAGAGGCGACCAGATTGTACCGGTAATAGCTCGTCAGATGAGAACCGATCGTCCGGGCATGCAAGCATGTCGGACACAGGTGGGCACACGAGCAGCAGCTCGCCACCCCATCGTCACCATAGGGCACACAGTCCGCAGCAACTGAACTCGGTGCCGGAAGACGACCGCTTGTCAGCCTCGGTTACCCAGAGAAATGGCAGAAACAGATCTGGACAGAATCGTAATCGACACAGAGCTACACCCGCCAAGGTGTTTTGCTTTTGCAAAATACAAGCCAGTTGACGTCTCTATAATTGATTCTTACGCCGGCTTCGTAGTAAAATATTCGTCATTCGACAGAGGACGTAAAATATTTAGCGAAACATAATTCTTATGAATACAAAGTTCTGTCTCTTTAGTTCGTAGTCGGTGTTTGCGAAATGTACATATTCACGATTAATAACGTACACATTTGTACACACCGGATGGGCCAAAAGTCACTTTTTACTGGAATAAGTCCGTAATCCTTTTTATCATATATTTCTATTATATTTTCTCCAACGTTCAAAAGAAATGATTTTTATCACGTTCGAACTCGAATTTAATTTAAAAGTAGCTTTTTCTTTGATGTTTTATTAAAAAAAGAAAATAGGTGGGAAGAAACTTTTGGCCCATCCTCTGTGTGTGTGTGTGTGTATATATATATCTTTATTCACCAATTTTTTACTTTTTCTATTTCCCAATGTTTTCATCCACCATCAGCAAAAATGCTTTTCCCTTCAACGACTGTGTGTTGCAGTTACAGGTGCCGTGGTCAGGTTCTGGCCTAGAAGATATCAAACTAGCCATCCAGCAGCTCACCATGCGTTCTCATAAATCGTCTTCCACGTACTCCTCTTTGAGCGGCTCGGAAAGTTCAGAACCGGCTGTAAGGAGGCTCATGAGACACTCGAGCTTAGAAACCATCAATACGAACGTGACCAGCGCCGACGAGTTCGTCTGGGTAGACTCTCACAATCGGTTGGTGGAGTTGCAACAGTTACCGTGGACGCATCACGACGTACTTCGCGTGTTACAAAACGGCCGCACCAGAGAGCACATGGAGCAAGTGTCTATGGAAACGATACCGCGTCTTTCTTACCTGCTGCAACGAGCTCTGGTCAGAATCGGCCGAGAGACTCAGCGACTGGCCAAACCTGTTGGCCTGTGCAGTAAACACGAGGTGTACAGTGCGTTTAAGATCGTCCTCTGCCCGGCCTTGGCAGATTCTTGCACCAAGGTACGCAAAATGCAGGATGGTTGAATAAATTCCTTGATCAATAGGAACTTTATATATTTCATTGTTGTAAGATGCATTTCTACTCTTCGCAAAACTTAGAAATAGAGAAATCCTCTCCTTTAGTTCTGGTTTAGAGAATACCACTAAATCTAAGCAACAAGGCAGTCATCTCCATTAATTTTCATGTTTCTTTATTCTATACATGCCTGCTTTCGCTAGGGATCACTTGCCAGGTAACAATGTAATAATATAAAAGTAGTACATAAACTAAGTCTGTCTAAGTCTATGACTGAATATATAATGTAGATAGAACCAGTCGATGAAATTGGACTCAATTTACTCCAAGTAATATTGAAAAGGGATAGTTATTATCCTTTCGATATTATCTTGAATGACAAAACAATTTCGAGACAGACTATATTATTACAACATGATGATTATAATAATTTTCTACAAAGGCACAATTTAAAAAATTAATTACAATATAATGTGCGACTTGGTTTTCTTTTTTAGGCTTGCTTGCGTGCCGCGGCGATGTTCGCCGTATCTGGCGACCAGTTGAAGCAATCGAAAGCATCTCGATCCGGATTGCAACTGCCAGTGGGACGATTCCTACGTTGGATGTCCGATGTTCGATTAGGAAGAATGATACACGAGTACGCGGCTATATATTTAACCGCCGGGATCGAAAATCTGCTGGAGGAAATACTGTTGCAGTGCATACCCACTGATCCCCATACAACGTTGACTGCAACCATGTTGGAACACGCTATCGCCAACAGTGGAGATTTGTGGGGCCTTCTTCAACCTTACGCGCACCTGAATGCCGGTAGAACGGCATCAGGTAAAATTATTTTCCACCGTTGGCACTGTGATTCGAATCGTTCATTGTTTCCAAACTTGCTCACTTCTTGCCTCGCCGTTAATTAGAAAAGCTCACTAGAATAATGAACATACCTACCAAGTTTTGATCCTTTTATCCAAAGCATTGGAGAATCTGTTGATGTAATAAATCGGATTGCGTTTACTTCCATTGGAATAAAATAAGAATGGGGAGGTGAATGGTATGATGAAAGACGGGATGAGGATTTATCTTTCGTTAGATGAATAAGATGGACCTTGAGTGACTGTAATTTAGTTGGAATTTGTAGGCAGTGATTCCGCTATCCGGTGAGAGATTCTTAGAAATTTATGATAAAGGGAAAGAGCAAATACCTGCGACAGATACTTGCACTTTGTTTCATTGAAATTGAATTCTCAAATTGGTGAGAAATGAAATTTATGGGATATAAAAAGAAATGAGATACATAATGCTTGTAATATTTATAATGCCGTTGCTGATAATTACAATTTTCACAGGTGCGCTTGCCATGCCACGTTGGGCCAGTGTCAGTTCCCTAAATTCCTCTTCGTCATCCCGCAGTGGAAGAGACGCAGCAGGGTCAGCGTTAGAACCATCGCTTCTAACAACCTGCGTCGGATCAATGTCCGAGCTGATAGACTTAGTCTCGAAAGTTGCGCAAGTAGGACGCTCAACTACACCTCTGACAACCAAGGCGTTGAACGCGCTCTTTTATTACATGAGGTGTTCGCAGGTTTGCTCCAAATGTTAATCCTAATGTTTAGGGAGTTCCCATTCCCTGTCGTCTCGCGGGACGTGATCAAAGGTAACGCGATATTTACTCAACAGCTGGAGCACGGTGAACGAGGCTTGGGCATACAGGAACTGGCATACGAACGAGCGTACGTGGTTCTTCCGCCGCTGGTCGAGTGGCTAAGAGTTGCAACCGCTCATGCAGAACACAGGCACGGACTGATTGTGGATCAAGACGATATTAATCAAGCTGCCAGATTGCTGTTACCCGGTGTGGATTGCCCTGTCAGGCCAATATGGTAATGCAAAAGCTGGGATCCCCTACCAGGGGACAAGCGAAGGTCCCAAAACATTTGTAACATTGACAAAATTTGAAATTTAATATCTAATAACGTGTTCCGTGACGAACTTCGTCCACAGCTTCGAGGAAGTTTCACTGTGCTCGAATCGTATTGACGACTCCGAATACGTTCGGCTTTTGACCATGGACATGGCCTTCAAGATGCTAATAAGCGGTCGCGCAGATTTAATAGCTCAAGCCATGCCCCTCTTGCCATCGACAAAGATCAATACTGTGAACGACAACGGCTTCACCGCTTTAATGATAGCGTGTATAAACAACGACGAAACCGCTGTCCTGGCATTGTTAGACGCTAGTGCCGACTTGAACGTCGAAAGTCCACCTCCGCCTACTGGACAATCAGCGAGTATACCTTCCAAGATTCCAGTGGCTCTAAACACGTCGAATGCTAAAGGTGGTCCAATGACACCGCCCGCTATGATGACACCAGGAAAGAACGCGCCGCCTCTAAATTCATCTTCCAGTTCACCAGGCTCGTCTAGTAACGTGTCCAACAGCACGTGTTACAACCAGTCTGGTTTCAACGCGGAAACGCAACACTGGACTGCTTTAACGTACACAGCGTTGTTAGGACATTGTAACATCGCTAGAATATTGTTGGAGAGAGGTGCAGCTGTCGAAGGTGGAGCTAAATTGAGCGAAGACAAATCTACGGTCACGCCGTTGCAAGCAGCTACTGCATCTGGCAACTATGAAATGGTTGCACTTCTTTTGGCTCATGGAGCTCAGCCGTTTTTGTCTACTTTGATAAAAGATTCGTTTTCATACTCCGGTTCTGCTCAACGGGGCTGTTACAGGCAAATAAAATATCTTCCTTATTAATTAATTTCTCATTTATCATCGTCGTGTCGTCAAACGTCAGTGATGAATTACAATTGCTTTCTATTCTTACATTACAGCGCGATATCGGTAGCAACGGTTCACGGTCAGAGAAGTTGTCTGCATCAACTGTTGTCTCACCCGTTGAACTTCTCTGCCAAACGAGGCGAGAAAGAAGTATTGTCGTTGGAGGAAATTTTGGCAGAAGGTAGTGCTGGTGCTAGTCCTCAACAACAAACTGTGGACGGAAGGGGAAATAGAAGAGAAGGGAAAGAACCAGTCTTTAGTAAAGTTCAGACTAAAGCTTTACAAGAAGCAATGTATCATAGTGCCGAAAGCAACCATTTAGGTAAAGTGGTTAGGAAGTTATCGTCTCTAAGATTATATCTAAATGTATGTTTCTCCTACATAAATGTGAATTCATACAGATATCACGATGGAACTTCGTGGATTAAAAGTGGGTTGGACGTTGCACTGCTGGATGCATAGTCTTGCAACAGCTCACGAAATGAGATTAGATTCGGTAATAGATCAGTTACTTCAAGATTTTCTGCAAGTCTGTCCAGATGACTATTCAACGCAATTCGTACAAGAATGTCTTCCATTGTTATTTAACATCTTTAGATATAGTAAAGTAAGTTACAATTCAATAAAAGCTCGATCAAATGAGAATCGAGTATCTTGTATCTTTTGCTTTACGTGTCTGTCCTGTCTCTGTAGAAAGAAGGCACAACGCTTCTTCTCGCGGATATTTTCTGCACGTGCTTTGGATGGGAACCGATAAAACCCATTCGAGACACGACGCTTTCCAGCGGGTCCAGAATAGATCCCAAATTTGTAAATAATCCGGAATTAAGCGATGTACAATTCAGAGTGGAGGGCAGAGTGTTCTATGGGCATAAGATCGTTTTAGTCACGTCGTCACCGAGATTTAGAAATATGTTAAGTTCAAAATTATGCGAGGGAAATCCTCCTATTGTACAAATTAACGATATTCGATACCACATTTTCCAGGTAATATTGAAAACGCAGTTGAAACATCTTAATTCTTTCTTGTTTGTTTGTTTGTTTTATTTGTGATTTAAATTGTATTTTATATATTCAGATGGTCATGGAATTTTTATATCACGGTGGTTGTGCCACGTTAGAAGTTAATCAAAGTGATGTTTTGGAATTAATGGCAGCCGCGAATTTTTTCCAACTGGATAGTTTACTTAGGTATTGCGAGGCACAATGTTCTTCCATGGTTGATCTTGACAATATCGTTTCTATGTACATCCATGCAAAGGTATTTTGCTTAAATTTTATTAGACACAATGTTACAACAGTAGTCGCAATTTTTTTTCTCTCTCTCTTTTAAGAGGAAATACAAACTAAACGACTTATTCAAAAATTTTCAGGTTTACAACGCCACGCAACTTCTCGAATATTGTCAAGGGTTTTTACTACAAAATATGGTTGCTTTATTAACTTACGATGACTCGGTCAAACGTCTATTGTTCGCTAAGAAATTGCCTAATCACGATGTTCTCGCGGGTCTTCTTCTTACTTTGCAAGCAAGGATAAAAGCTAGACGATCTCAACAACAAAACAAGATAAAAGCCTAGAGATACGATAAACACCAAGCACGGTATTTATGTCAACATCGTGATTATGATTTTATTTTTACTATCGTCGATTGTAATGATAAACATATTCACGTATGTTTAAATAACATCATTCATCTAAAAAGAAAAAAAAAAATTACACTAAGACTGAATATTTCACGATTTATTTTCAACCTTTTTCTAACGGGTATTCAAATATAAATTATCACCAATACTCATCAGTTTGCATTACATTCAAAGTACATATTAGTAGTATAAAAAAGCTTACGTTTCTGCCATGTATTTGTTTCATCATTGTTGTATAGTATATACTTTCCGTTTAAGCATTTTTTACATTTAAACTGTAAATGTATATTAGATACTTTTCAAACAAATATAAATTATGCTGTTACAAATGAATATCTATCAAGCGTATACAATTATTAAAATAATTAAAGAGATAATTAAAAAATTTATAAAAATTAGTTTATCCATCACAAATTTTTAAATAATCGTGTAAATAAATAATTATCACAAATATAGAAGATGGTATATGCTGTGAGTTTTTAGTGACGATAAGTTATTAATTATATATAACAAATGAACATATAAATATAAATATATATTTTGTATATAAAACAGACTGAACAGTTTAAACGTGATAAGAAAAAAAAAAAAAAAAACGATGATGCGAAATATTAAAATGTTGTCGCGCATTAATAGTACAACATAATTTGTACACCTCGATTACAGTAAATTATAAATTATTGTGATAATAAATAACTTGTTTCACTTCTCGAAGTTTAATAAAACTGCCTATATTTTTTTATCACATTTCTGTTTACATATAAAGTACTGAACTTTGTAGTTTTTATCACATTGCAGTACTAGCTTGCAGTAATTTACAGAAAAAAAAGAAGAGTGCAAAGTATTGTCGCATAATGTCACATAACGTCTATATTGTCAACGAATAAAGCTCGTCGCATCTTTAATCAAATATTACGAAAAATGTGATTCATTTTAAAATAGAAGGAAAGGAAGAACGAAATTGCCTACTACAATTTTTTAGTACAATGAAACATCGTAGAATTCGTTATTGTAAAATGAAATTGTTTCTGCTTAGACCTCGACAATGTAACAATATTAGTATTATATAATGCAATTTATTTTAAATGTCAACGTTTAGCTGTATATACAATGTTCAAGTTATAATCTTCATAATAATGTAGTTTGGAGTTTTAAATTTTGGAATGCCTAATAATCATATAAGAGTCAAATTAATTCGCAAAAAACGGCTGTCTCAATCTTACGATAATCTGTACTATATTCTTTCTTTCATTATTATCGTTGCAAGCTTCAATGGAGATACATGCAAATCATAATAAATATTATAATTTTACTAAAGAATAATTGTAAAAAATGATATATTCACAATTTATACAATTTATAGTTATGTTAGATTAAGAATATTGATGTTGTCACGTGTCTATAAAAGTTGTTACTTACATAAATTATCGTGTAGTTAACAAGAATTATACGATATATCTCTTGTAAAAATGTAAGCTTGAAGACAGTTTTGAAGAAGGCATTTCCTATATTATGTAATATAAATTTTCAATTGCAATAAATATATTTTAATATTTTCTTAGTACCTGTGTATATAGGAAAAGTAAAATATTTCAAACACGTGAAAAATGTAAATTATTGTTTTTTTTTCTTAACGTTACATATTTTATAATGAAGCTGTTTGAAATAATTAATTTATAAAAGCAAAAAAGTTGCATGCGTATATAAATACATGTGTTAGTATTAATTTATACATTTTAATTTTAATTTAAACATAAGTGAAAAGATGAAGAACATATACAATAATAATATTTTAGGTCAATGTTATGATCAATTCTAACTGGATAAGGACAGATAAGGGAAGGAAATAATATATTATATAATATTATTTTTATAACAAACTCGTACAATTATTTAATAATAGAAAATGAATTCATTGTTTCGAAATAATAACATATAAATAACAAATCAGTGAAAAGATATCCATTTTGCAAAATATAATTTCCACTTATCACTTCTCACTACACTCGATTAATTAACAAATATTGAACAACAAATATTGTGAATAATAAAAAAAAAATATATATATATATGCAATAGAAAATTACATTTTCAAGTAAAAACTAGATTACTGAAATTACTCATAGCGCGCACAATCATCAAAAAATTTAAACAAGATATAATAGCTCTCAACATTAATCGATTTAGTGCCACATTTATTTTACATATTTCTGAAATAAATTTATATCTGTTTATGATCATTTTATGCATAGGTGATCTTCTAATATCAATACAATAAAATGTTAAATGACATATTTTTTAATAAATTTATTATAATAAATTAATTGTTAA